CAGTGACTTATAAACCTTCCCACAGCCCGATGAGAAGTATTGTAATTACAATGCATTTGATGAAATAACTGTTTGACCAACTATACAACCGAAAGGTGAGGCCAGGACTGGGCTTGAGATCCCCGGCTTGAGCACAGCGTTTCTGCAGCACGTCACCCCCGAGGGCCAGCAGAGAGATCCCCTGCAGGACTGCCAGACCCCCTGCAGCCGAGGGCCTCCGGGAAGACGCCAGAACAGGAAAGACCAAACCCACAACAGCCCGACCACAAGGGCGAGAGCTGTCCCGCGCTCTCCCCGAGAGGAGCGCGCAGGAGTGCGGACGAGGCTGCGTGGAATCTGCTCTCGCGCACGCACACACACACACACACGCGCGGAGGGGCGCCCCTACCTTGCAGGTGTACTCCTGCTCAGTGACGCGGTGCACGGCCCGGAAGCTGCCAGCCCCCTCGCCCGCCTCCAGCAGGATGTAGGGCCCGATGCAGGAGACGCGGTGCTCAGCCCCACTGGGGCTCGGGCTCTGGGCCAGCGGCCGCAGGCAGGGGGCGAGGCCCGGCGAGGGGGGCTGGCTCAGCCGGGGGCGCTTGCATTTCGGGGTGTCGCTGTCCAGGGGGTCCTCGAAGTCCAGGCGCTTGAGCCTCAGGGGGAGAGCGCGAGGCGCCGGCTGGAGGTTCACGCTCATCTGCAGGACAGGAGAGAGGGGCTCAGAGCTGCACCAGAAACGCATGGGTCCTTCACAACTACACATGAATGGCCTCTCTTATAGACCTCAGCGTGCACTTCCTGTTCTCTTCTGCACAGAGCATGATGCTGGCCCAGAAGAAGGAAAGCTATCGATTATCCGGCCCACACGTCTTTCCTCGCACCCAGCTAATGAGGAGAGCGGTTCGGCGCCTGTGTACCGCCCGGACCCACGCTGGTGGACCAGAACCAGCATGTACCGCAGGCCGGTCCAGCCCGATGGCAATACAGGTAGTTGGAGAGACGAATTGCCCCCCACACAAATGAATAAAATAAAAGCCTCAAACAAGAATCCGTAAATAACTCGCAGTGTGCATTTATGAAGCTCCAGGGTTTGCACGCCTGGGGATAAAACGAAAAGTGCACTTCCACTGAAACGCACCTCGGGCGCTTCATTAACGAGTTCGTGTCCGGCTCGGACGGAGAAGCTCTCTCCGGCGAGTCGCCCAGCAAACACACATACAGGGACCCGACCCACGCCGGGACCTGCGGCGACTGGAGCCAGGGCTGACCCCAAAACAGTCAGGCGAGGCGGTGCATCAGCGGGCTGTGCCGCCGGGGTATGGCTCCAAGACCGCCGGGCGAGTCACCGCCTCCACAGCCCCGCTGACACCCCACACAGCCGTGCATCCCCGGCGCGCTGCCCAACCGGTGCGCAAGCGATTGCTACAAGCTGCGCGGCGGGGTCCGCTGTTTCCGTCACGCACGTACGCGCGCACAGACACACACACGCAACATTTCGTCGTGGCTACCGCCGTGACGGAACGGGCGCTGGTTTTCCAGCATCCCGGGCCCCCGGAGCGGCGCTGCACCGGTGGTAGCTGACCTCCGGTGCGCACTACAGGGGAGGCCGTCGAGAGACTTTTGGCAGCGGTCCGGTCACAACAGCGGAGCGACCTGCCCATTCACCCGGGCCCCTACGCTCCGCCGGTACCCCGAGAACTACAACAACAAGCCTCGGCTTCGGCTACCTTTTCGTTTTTTTCACGGGTAAAACTGACGAACAAAACATCGGGACTGCCCCCTTACCTCGTCCGCGAAAAGTTGGGAGGTCTCGCCGCTCGTCAGCTGAGCAGAGCAGTTTCACCAGCTGCTCCCGGTGGGACGAGAACTAGAGCGCCTAGTTACCGCAACCCATCCACGAAACAGGGGAAGGAGAATTAAAAAAAAAAGAGAAATCCACCGAAGTGTGAAAGAATATCCCCACTGTGATGTCGCTCCTCCGAGTCGGCCCCCCTCCTCCTCCTTCCCTTTAGCAAGAGGGGTCCCAGCGCGTTCCAGTGGGAGCACAAAGGACCGGGGATCGAAGGGGCTCCGTCCGCCCGGGAACAGGATGAGCGGGTGGGATACCTCGGAGGCGAGCTGCCCTTTAAATCCACACCGAGCACCGCCTGCTTTTGTCGGTCGGCAGAGACGGGGACACGCAGTCGAGCGATTCCTGGGCAGCACAGTCAAAGCGCAAGCCGGCGCCTGACTCGTCGTCTGCGGACTCCCTTTTGTTCCAGACTCGCCGCTAAGTTAAAGTGCTCTGTGCGCTCTCCGGCCTCCTCCTCGCTTCCCCTGCCTTGAAGGTGGCTTCTTATGTGAAAGCGCTTTAACGCACACACACACACAAATACAAAAGTGGGGAGCCTTTGGTTGCTCCGCGGCGTGTAGCTCCTGTGCGCAGACCCCCCGTACTCCCGAGCCTGCCGTGGGGCTGCAGTCGCGCTCTCAGGTCGCTCCGAAGAGGGAAAACGCCAAGTGCCCGACACCACAACAAAGCCAGGTCAAGCTGATCAGCCCGCTGGAGTCGGAGTCGAGTTATCGTCTTCTGCCTGCGTGTGAGCCCGTGAAATATTCCCCCCTGACCGGGCGAGTAGGCGACTTGCTCTCTCTCTCCCCCCCTCCGTAAGCGCTACCTCGGTCTGCCTGGCTCACTGCGTCGCCGAGTCTGATGTCAACTACTTCAAATACCCTTCCTGCGCCGCTCTCCAGCCGCTGACGGCGAGCTCTCTCAGGATTGCAACATCTCCGCCCCGCCTTGTCGCATGACGACACCGCCGGGTTCACACTGGCAATACAGGCTCGCGGCGCGGATGACTCAAAACTCCGAGGGCTTGTGCTACAGCAACGCTGGAGTAATAGTTGCTCGTAATCCCACCTCTCTGTTTCACTCTCCCCCCCCCCCCAGGTCAATATTATTACAGTGCAGATTCTGGCGTCTCAACGTGCTATTTTCTTGCGTTCTTGAAAGAGAAAGGCAGTGCCGTGCTCTCGGAATTTGGGTCTCATCGCCACGGGCTTGAGGCAGTCGTTTCGTAGCTGTGTTTGTGTTCATAGTATTCCGACCATGTCAATTTTATATGTATTGATTGTAGACAATAACCTCTGCATATTTGCACAGTGTAATCCCATGTCAAACACGTGCGGAAAAAAAGGTTCACCAGGAGCTGCTCACGGCCGTACGAACACAGGCCAGTACACTGAGCGACTGGAAGGACTTCATCTAAATGGTGGGAACGGCGTCACAGTACAGCTTGATCTAACACGTACCACATTGCATTGCACGGTGCAAGCGACGTGACCGAGACCGGCGCTCAGGCAGAGTGACAGAGACTGACAGAGTTTTTTTTGGGGCAGGTTCTGTGCGTAATGCGTTGTAATGTGGAGCGACAGGTGTTGAACTCCAGACGACACCGCCGCTGAGATCTACAGCGCTCCCTAGCGAGCAGTGCGGTGAGGGCTGAGCTACAGATCCCGGGTGTTCAGGAAAGAGGATATACAAATGGAGTTATCCATCCTCATCGTTATCGTCTAATTGTCAGCACGACATATCTCGCTGTGATATGCACATATGAAACGAGGCCAATTCGATTCATATGTTTCATTTGTCATATACAGAAAACGTTCAAGTACCACAGACCTCAAAGCACCCCCCCAAAAATAAAAACAAACAACAACACGTAATTATGCATAAAGTTCTCCATAGTAACAGTTGGTTAATTTAGAAAACCTTCAACCCCCAGAACGGTAAGAGGGTCTTTCCAACGTGCTGCCTTGGACAGTTGCGCCAGAGTTACGCATTCATTGTCAACGAGGCGCGCTTCGGTCAGCTTTCCTCTCGCATCGCAATGCGTTTCTGGAAAATCGCTCAAACGAAAGAAGAAAAAAAGCCCCTTGTCCCGGGATTCTGGAATGTTCATCTCCTTCTTGTAATGGCAACAGATCTAAGTTTAGAAAGCGAGAGAGACGCGTCTGGAGGAGCGGGCGAGGCCCCGCCCCCTGCATGACTCAATATCAGTGATGGTGTTGCACCATTGAGTAACTCACGCCTGCGGAGACGGAGCGCACTCCGAGAGGAACGGGGGCCAGCGGTGTTCAAAGCAAACATGCGCGTTGCTATAGAAAGTGCCTCAACAGATGAAGCTGCTCAGTTGGGCCTGGTACAAAACGACAAATTTCTGTGGTACGGGTTTTCTGTGTGTGCGCACGCCTACTAAGGATGTGGAGAAAAGGGTTCTTCCCAGCAACTGGTGACATGAACTTGAATTCAGTATTACTCAGCAAAGGCTGGAACAAGTAAAGAGTGTAAAGTATCGGGTCTACTCGCGAAATCAGGCGTGTTCCGTTCCAAAACTGTGATGTCACCTTGGTGAGAAGCAAGGAGACGTGTTCTCCAGCTGTAGCTGGGGGGGGG